ACATAAAGTCATATTATAACATCGACTGAGATAAAGAATAAAATGAAATATTAAAACCATGATGTATCTCGCTGCATTGCGCGAGTACGCTTCTAGTATTATCTAATACAAACAAGAAATTAAAGAAAAATTAAATACTATAATATGATAATTAAAAGAATTTTAAATTGATTATTATATATATTATAAATTTTAGATTTGCTAAAACAAAATTTTAGAAAAAAAAATTGACATTAATTTATAATTTAAATAACCATTACATATAATATGAATAAAAATAAAATTGGTCGACCTCGTATATCCTAATTAATTAATACTTTTTCTAAAATTATTATTAATAATGAAATCAAATAATTGTTAAATTTATTTAACACGGTTTTATTATCTATGAAACAAAATAAGTATAATTTTGGTTTTTCTTTTACATAAGAAATTTTAAAATAATGTATATAATTAATATCAATCTATAATGTACTATCAAAATTAATTAATAATTTTAAATTACTGTTATTTAATATTTAGTAATATTAATAATAATTAATAATTATTAAGCTTTTTTTATTAACCTGGATATCCAATCCGTTATGCAAGCCGACTAATCCTAGAATGATCACTTACTTTGCAGATAGTTTAGAGTCACCGCATTGAACTTTCGTGGCTACAAACGGATTTTTATTTCTCTTTGGATTTAAACATGTGACCTCTAGGTACTTTTGACCTTTGAAGTCAAACTCAAAACAATCAGACGTCACTCTTGTGGTTATATTTATTAAGCTTTGTTTACAATTAGAAGTAATAATTAAATTAATGAGAGTTATAATAAAAAAAAGTGACAAATAGCTTCTAATAAGCTACTGCAACTAACGTTTCAATAAAGTAGCTTATATTAATCTGTATACATCAAAAATAAGTTAACTTATGTTTACCAAATAATATTATAACATATAATTCTTAATGATCGTTTTTTATAAAAAAAAATTGTTCAAAATAACAAGCGAATAAGATAATTAATAAATAAAAAAGTGAAAATAGCTTGATTTACACAATTAAAAGGGCCCCTATGTTTATATCCATAAATATTATTAAATAATAAAGAAGAATGTGACAAATGA